TGGAAGGAAGGGAGGTTAATGCAAGACATCTTCATTTTTCCTATGAAAGCACTTAACAGAACTAACATGTTTTCACTATGACTCTTTAATCAGTCAATATTCTCAGTTTCCATATATCCAAAAAGTCAGCAGCGTGAATGGACTTAGAATTAACAACCTTCACCTCGTTTTATTGCTGAAGTCCTCAATATCAACAGCTATTAAGAAAATGGTATTTATAAGTGTTATTTTAATGCCATATCTACTGCGCGTTTAAGAAAGAGTTCTTTATGGTTCTTTTAACTGATCACAGATAATTCATACATTTAAAAAGCTGAAATACAGAACTCTTGCTTTATATTTAAATCATATAAGCAAACAAGTTTTATATAATGATGATTTATTTTCCAGCTATATTTAATCTAAAACTGAAAAAATAAGTCTAATAAAAACAAACAAATTAAGAGTATCCATCACTGTGAATACATTCATGCACAAAGATTAACTACAAGAGAAAAGATACACACACTCTGTATCTACTCACCAAAAAACTGACAAAACTGGCTCCAAAACTCATTAGTGGGCTATGGTTTCTGTGAAGAGAACAAAATGCAGTTAACTACATTGGTGCACAACGCCAATATTACATTACTTGATTTTAAGTCATCATTACACACCTTTAGGTAAACCCTAGATTTTTTTTAATATCAAGTTACAAACAGCTACTGTACCGTTCCGCAAAATACAGTGGAAACAGGAAGCCAGAAGCCGCATCATTTTTACTAAGCCTTGAACATACCTTTACGAAAAATTATTTTTTCAAGTGTTAAGCAGTAGATATTTTTAAGAGAAAGTAAACTTAGTACAGACCAGAGACAATTTAAAAGCTGCGGAAATTTCAAAATCCACTAGTTCTACTCTTATCAACTGTCACCACAATTCTGACCTACCAGACAAATGTTAACTGGTTCCATTAAGAGATTCCCTTCCCTCTTCCCATGAATTGAAGTTAAACTACCTAAAACCATAGACTTAGAAAATGCATATGCCACAAAATAAATTGCTGGAAATATAAAGTTCTATTCTTATAGGAATTATGGTTCTTTAGCTGCTTGGTTTCAAGCCTGGGGTACAAATCTTACTATACAATATTGAACAGTTTAAATATGTTCCACTTTTTCTGTTTGCAGAGATTTTCAGAAGGGTAAAAACAACTACTGGACCAAAAACGTAAGGCAGTCAAAATCGTGGTAATGCATGGGACAAGCTTCAAGCTTCAGGACTATTGCAGTCACACAAACCATAAGGCTGTAGCCAAGTCAGATACAACACACTTAAAAAACTGTTTTCAGGATCTGTGCCACTGGATCTACTGTTCAGCTTTACGAAATCACTGACTGTCAGTTTATATGCCCATGTATAAATACCATTACTGGAGCAAGGCTAGAGTTCAGCACTCCAGAAAAAAATAATATATGAACACTAACTTCTTCTCCAGGTTTTAGGAAAAGGTTACATTTACACTTTAAGTACACCTATTGCTACAGTTAAGTTAACACCCACTAGATTGCCTTTCTAGTTCTTCCCCTATCAAAGGCAAAGCAAAACAAACAAAAAACACCCTTGAGAGCCACATCACTACAATGAAAATATTACTAGCTATAATACATCAGGTGGAACGTTACAGATTGAGTGACTGAAAATTAAAAAGGATTTCCAATAAAAAGCATTGTCAGTAAGCACATATGGACTGCTTTATCACCCTGAAGCAAGAAAATATCATATTTAATATTATCTGGGAAATGCTTCTGTTGAGACCACGGAGTCTGGTAATCAAAACATGAAACCTCTACTCCCTCAGTGTTTTTGGAAGTGTCATCAATAAATGAATTAAGGTATGCTTCTATCATATTCCTATGCAGTTACTAGGTAACAACTTTAGGTTTATGGAAAAATCATTTATTAATTTAATTTTAGCATTTACAATTCATTTCAAATAACAATTGCATTGGCTGCTCAAGCTTCATGGATAGTACGTCAAATGACAAATTCTTTAATAGTTCAATGTTACCTTCTTCTCAAGAGCTGTAAAACAGTTTGTAATGGCATAGCAGAGACAGTAAACATCAAGACATAACTAACACTGAAAGTTTCTGAAGAAAGCACACTTCCGTAACAATACTCCTCAGTTCAAATTCATTATCCATGTTTGCTGAAGCAACCTTCAGCATCAGACATGATCATTTTTTGCCAGATACCAAAAAAAAAAAAAAAAAGGGCAGGACTTGAGATAATACTAACAGTGAAACAATGGCCACATTGATGTCGACAGGATTTATGCTACTGAGCACAAATGAACCTTGGGACACTGCAGTACCCAAGTCATCACCACTTCAAAACAACAGCCTCCAATAAGGAAAAAAAAAATTTTTTTTAATTAGCCCAAAGATAAAGAAAAGTCAGGGCCAAAAAAGTCCCACATTGAGACGGGTGAGCTACATTCTCTCTCACAAATCTACGCATAATACAGTAGGATCCACTAAATTATCTTTATATCTTCTTCTCAAACTATCTCAAAATATCTTCTATTCATATGCCGTAGTTCAACTTCTGAGGGTCCCAACTGAGGATAACAGATTACTATATGTTTAAACCCACCCAAATTTGGAATAGCATTTAAGCATGAGGCTTGCCTCATCAGTTTGCTTAACCACGTCCTCAACGCCTTCATGAATGGGGGTGCTAACCAGCAACACAAGCAACTTAAAACCAGTTAGACCTTAAAAATATTAAATTCCCAACTGCCACAATACTTTTGTTCTTATCTGTGTCAGCATCTGGCTGTTTACACAGGACCTGGATGTGCAGGGCAAACATCTTTTCTCTGAAAACTTTTGTGCTTGTGCCAACCTTCTCAACTGGCTAAATATTTTGTGACCATTTCAGTTACCAAAGGACAGCAATGCAATTAGATAAGATAACACAGTGATGCTAGGTGCTTGATGCATTGTAACACTTTAGCAGATACTGATCAAACGATCAGTAGGTTTTTAGATATTTATTACCTTTCTGGTCTAAAATATTTGTACTATGCCAATATTCCAACCTTTGTCTGCTCAAATGCTTTCTGTGAATACTACCAATTACACTTCAGAGCTTTTCCTTTGCTCTAAAAAGGTATCAAAATCAGTACTACAATACCAGCCATTTTCCTTTCCTCCATCTGTTCTCATACTCGGACAATTATTCTACGGCATCTAATGGACAGCTTACAACATCTGCCATACTGAGCTTTCTACTGGAAAAGAAAGGCAAGGGAGGAGAAGGACATCAATCTCGGACATACGTATTCAGTTGGTAATTTACAGATACTACTCTATAATACATTTTTAACACCAAATTTAAAAATAGAAGCATTAAAACATGTCTGTTATAAAAATTCAGAAATACCTTTGAGTATTGTTTTCTACCTCCATTATCCTCTCCAGATATTTTGGAAAATACGATTTGCACTTTGCCTATCAAATTGGCAGTCACAAAATACTTTAATCAAAAAAATGTTCTATTAATATTACTTCTACAAGATATCACAACAAAAATTGGTACAATTTATTTAGAAAATGAAAGTATGTATAACTAAACCTAACTTAATACACTGAAGTTATGTATAACTTCACACACTTAAGTGCTCTGAGGTAGAACTTGTGTGCCTTAGAGCTTTTCCAGTTTCTCCTGTGCCTTACAGCTTTTCCAGCTGTATAAATTGGTGTTATATGAGACATTGCTTGTCCCAGCAAACCCTGACTAATTCACCTCATTTTACAGCTTCTCTTCAAGATAATTTACTTTCAGAAGAAAAGTGTTTGCCAAGCCCCATTTTCATGCATGATGATAACATCCAGGAGTTTTAAGCTTTGGTTTAATAAAGCTGGGATAATACATTCTTATTTTATCGTTAAAAACCAGAACTGAAGCACATCAGGAAAAAAAAAAATTACTTCTCCTTTTTCCTTTCTACCTCTATTTCCATGATAACATTTCGCTTCAAAAAATACATAAGCTTCAAAAGCTACTATACCCTAGCTCAGGTTTATTAAAGTAGTATAATTAACCCACCAACATTTCCTCCCCTCTTTTCTAAGCACTGCTACTTTAGCAACAACACTCCATTTGAATTCTAGTCATCATACAGGTTGTGATGCTTAAGTTCAAACAAAACAAGTTGTTTTCCTCCAAGGTGGGAGAGTAAAACATGATGAAAGTTAACAATTTGCTCAAGTTCACAGAAATATAGAAGCAGCTACCGAATATTTTAGAACAAGCAGAAACACACATAGTTAAAGTGTTAAGGGATTTACTACAAACACATAAAAATATGGTCTAGAATATGATTTGTGAGGATACAAACATAAGGCATCTTTATACAACCACACATCTCAGCCGATATTGATGCGTGAAATAGCTAGTGCAATATAAATGTATTAAACGAATCATGGTATTAAGATACATTTTAATTGAGAACTGCAAATATCAGATATAGTTTATGTTATAATTAGCTCAAATTTGTATAAATTATTAAATGAGTTCTCAACATACACCTCTACTTTTACTAGAAATATCCAACCTATGAGAAATGCAGGAACAGGAAAAAAAAAAAAAAAAATTCTGTAGTGCTTTCCTGACCAGTTTTTAACCTGATTTTGTTTTGTCCTTCCCTAAATTACCAGAGGAGTGTTTAGCTTTTAACTTCAGGCTGTTAAGTTTAGATGAAGAAGAATATCAAA